AAAATAAACAAAGAGAGATTACAGCAGTTGTTGGAGGAAAAAGAAAAGAAATAAGAAGTGAGATTACAGCAGTGGCAAGAAAACCTGCAACAATGGCAGCTCGAACAGCAAATTAAACAAGAGAGATTACAGCAGTTGTTGGAGGAAAAAGAAAAGAAACAAGAAGTGAGATTACAGCAGTGGCAACTGGAACAAGAAAGGAAACAGGAAGAAAGTCTCCAACAGTTGTAGGAAAGTCAGCAGCAACTACAGGAAAGTCAACAACAGTGGCAAGAAGTACAAATGGAAAGTATTAGCAAATTTCAAAGTGAACTAAATACATTAAAGGATGAGTGACTGTCTTTTAAACAAGGAGGATATATTAGCCATCAACCTAATCAGCCTCAGGCAATGGGAAGCCCCTTCCAGACCCCGCAGCTAAACCATAATGCAGACATCTTCAGTCCTGTTAGAAGTCACATCCCATATATGAGTGTCAGCAATAGGGGTGATCTAGTACGAAGGAAGCCACAATAATTCGATGGGAAGGCACTATGGGAAGCATATAGAGCACAATTTGAGCTCCTGGCAGAGATGAATGGATGGACAGAGGAGCAGAAAGCAGTATATCTAGCAATGAGCCTGAAGGGACAACCACTGGAAATACTTGGACAGTTGTCAGCAGACGACAGACACAACTGTAGAGCACTGGTAGCAGCTCTAGAATTCAGGTTAGGAAACTTTTGGCAAATTATGCAGACGCCTTTTCGAAAGGAGATCATGACCTCGGCTGCACAGACCTTGTGGAGCACAGAATAAACACAGACAATCACCGTCCAATAAAGATCCCTCCAAGAAGAATAGCTTCGGCAAAGCAACAAGAGATGGAGAAGGTCATGGATGGCCTATTTAAGGAATGGATAGTCGAGAAATCAGATAGTCTCTGGTCAGCTCCTGTCGTGCTAGTCCAGAAGAAGGATGGGACCCAATATTACAGTGTGGACTTCAAGGCTCTTAACAGTATAACCAAAAAACACTCATATCCACTGTCAAGAATTGATGATACTCTTGATGCCCTAAGTGGAGCCAGGTGGTTTTCAACTCTGGACTTAAAGTCAGGTTTCCATCAAGTAAAAATGGCTGATAAACCTAAGACTGCATTTAGTTATGGCCAAGATCTCTGGCAATACTGTGTGATGCCATTCGGGCTTAGCAATGCTCCAGCAACATT